TTTACAGAAGAAACTGAAGATGACATAGGTTAAATGTCTTGCTTAAAAGTGACATTAACGGGAATGTCACAATAAGAAAATCAAACTCAGGTTTCTCAGATAATACTTTTATAAACGCTCTCTCAATATGCATAGTTTCAGGGAATAATGTAAATTTCAAAAAGGTAAGATTTCTACATTTGCAGATAAAAGTAACTGTGTACGAACTTGCTTTAAGCCATTTTATTTGCATGACAGAATAGTAAAGTATCTATATAAACTAACTTCATTTAAGTCAATACTCAATTCTGCTAAGTTTGGCAAGTTAGTTTAAGTCTCAAATGACAAGTTGCTCAAATAAAGTTAGTTTATTCTCTTTCATGGTTCAAAGGCAATTGTTAGCAACAACAAATTTTCTTTTGACCTTCAAAATATGTGAGGAGCTTTTATCTGTGATCTATTCTACGTGAAAAAGTTAATCATTTGCCAGGAATGTGGCTTACACCTGTAATCCCAGCATTTTGGGAGCCTGAGGGGGGTGGGATCACTTGAGGGCAGGATTTTGAGACCAGTCTGGCCAACATGGTAAAACTGCGTCTTTACTAAAACAAACAAAAAAATACAAAACTTAGCTGGGCACAGTGGCAGGCATCTGTAATCCCAGCTACTTGGGAGGGTGAGGCACGAGAATCTCTTGAACCCGGAAGGTGGAGGCTGCAGTGAGCTGAGACTGCACCACTGCACTCCATCCTGGGTGACAGAGTAAGACCCTGTCTCCAAAAAAAAAAAAAAAAAAAAAAGTTAATTATGGCTAATATTCAATTCTACACAAAACACACACAGCCCAGTTTTGGGAAAATCTGGCTGTCTATATATATTCACTTCAAGTATTTATTACCTTTTTAAAATCCACAATTGTAATCTAATACTTAAAACCGAACCCATGAAGTACGAATTCATTAACACTTTAAAGCTCAGAAAGCCAGAAAAACCACAGAAGGATAAAACTTCTACAAAATGATATAATTTGGGGGAAAGCTAAGACATTTTTAACAAAATGTTTGCTACTAACTCCCATTTATGGACCATAGATCCATAAAATAAATACAACAAAGCTTCAATAAAATTTGCATTATAAAATAAGATTCAATACTTATGTTAAAGTCTAACCTCACTATAGTGTTACTTGATGTATTTTAAGGAATATTTCACACATGGTAAATCAGAAACCATGTCAAAATGAGCCATATTATAGAAGGTTCTAATACATGACATAGCATACATAGCAAAATGTCTCATCAATCCTAAAAAGAAAATGGTCACACCAATAACAACTGGTCAGGAAAAGGAGCCAAGGAAACACTATTTGTACTAATAGAATGTAAAAGATTATAAGGTGCACACAGCAAATGTATGATCCATCAGTTTTAAGACTGCTGTTTGTAAAAAGGTAAATAAACTGTGCTTTAAAAGATCTAAAGATTTGCTCCAGTGAAGTAAAAGTTCACTAGAAAAATCTCTACAATTAAATTATTGACCGCTTATCTAAGGTTTGGGGCAGAAATTCATCTTTCCACAGTCTCTAAGTTTATCATAAGTTAGACTGCTTTTTGGGCTTCCACCGCACTAACCACAGGTCTATTAACAAAAAAGAACAAATCTTAAACATTAGGTTTACCTGGTTCTTACCAAATATTCCTAAAGTAATAAAACTATACTAAAAAATGATACAATCTAGAATACTTAATAATTCAGACTAGCCTTTCCTTTTGAGGAAGAGTTAATGAAATTGTTATTCCTCTTTCTCCTGAAAAGAAAATGATCCTTTCTTTGAAATGCTTCCTTGTGATGATTTCTAATGTCACTCAAAAAGTGGTATTTCCTCAAGAGGGAAGGATTCCTCCTTAGAGGTAAGAATTCCTTAGGAGTAAGACTTTTGGGTTTTTTTTTTTTTTTTTTGGCCTTTTGCTTTAACAAAGAAAGGCATTTAGTTTTCCTTTTTTTATTAAAATGCCCTCAATTTATTTGATGCCTTAGACATTTAAAACATTAAGCTGTAGGAGCCTTGAAGGCCAGAACAAAGTTTTATCAGAGATGAATTATTATCACAACAGTTTTAAGTACACTTCTTTAAGAGGGCAGAAGAACACCACCTGGCATTCTTACCAATTACTCCTCAATCTGAACATATACTTCAATAAATTCTTTTATAATTTCACATTAGCAAGCTGGCAGACAGGACACGTTTTGTTGAAGAAATACTTCAAAGTGAAATGCTTCCACCCCGACCCCGAGTGATGGCATTCAATGTTAAGATAAATTTTTGGTTTGCTAGATGAAAAGGCATTTGTATTTAAGAGAAATACTCCTCAATCTAACATTCCCAAAGAAGGCTCTCAAATTGCAGTTCAAGAAACACTAATCTAGAGTGCTTCTGAGTAAAAACCAACAAAACCTATACATTATACATAAAAATGCTACTACTGTCAAAAATGTATTATATCAAGAATTTTATCAGCAGCATTTAAGAAATAAGAAATCATAGACAAGAGAAGACAAACATGGTAATGCAGTCAGACCAGCACACAATACACCATTTTCATCACACACTGTCACCTGAATCCCTGGCAATTTCCTAGAGGTATTAACATCATACCTAATTAAGAATTATTGGCCCCGAGGAGGGGGGGTGCGGAAGGGTGCAATCTTTTCAAATCAACATCTGGCTCTACTTTCTTCCAGTAGTATTACATTTGTATAATATTCTTATAGAAACAACTCAATTCCATGTTATAAAGCACCATACAGTATTTCATCCTGTACAAAGGAAGTAGTTCTGAAAATTTTACAACAGGATTCGTGGGAAGGCACTTAAAGCTAACTAGTCAAAAAAAAAAGTCTAACAACAGTTAGACTTTTTTATACTGCAGGGTGCTTAATATTGTATTCTTTGTTTATATCACTTAACATTTTGATCACAAATTTCCCAGTAAATTAAAAGCTATTCAAAACTAACAAAGGAAAGACAAGAAGGGACACAGCCCACACCCTGACTGATGAATCAGGCAGAGTAAATTTGCCTTCAAAGTAGGCAAATGTTGTAACTTTAAGAAAGGTAAGATAAATAGATGGAGCAACAGAGTGAAACAAGCATGGCCACAGTGGTACTGGACTCCAAGTATGGCAAGGGTCGGATAGGACGGTTGACTTTAAGTGAAAAAAGAAAGTAAATTTCATTTTCAGACTCAAAAAGTCTTAAAGGTATCTTTGGATAAGTAAGCAAAGTAAATACTGTTGACCCTTGAACAGCATGAGTTTGAACTGTGTGGGTCTGCTTATACGCAGAATTTTTAAAACCAAACATGGATTGAAAATACAGTATTGCGGGATGCAACAGTACACACACGGGGAGGGCTGACTTTTCATACAGGCAGGTTCCAAAGGGATGACTGCAGGACTTGAGTATGCGCAGATTTGGGTATACACAAGGGTCCTGGTATCAATCCCCTGCCTATACCAAGGATGCCTGTGCTTTCATATATATACTTTTAAAAAAACATTTCATCTATACGCTTTAAGTGTTCCCTATTTTACCCAAATACTGAAGATGAAAACCCAATATTACCATTAGTTCAGGTTACAAATGTGATAATTTATAAGATTTTGCTTATATGTTTTGGAATTTAACAAAAATGGATATATTCTTCAGTTCAGATGTACCTTGAAGAGTCAATTAAATTATAAATTCAAAGGTCTACAAATGTAAATGCTTTCCTTATAATAAATTTGATATTAAAACATCATTCACAATATTAAATCCTAACACCACTGGTATGCTCAGTTCATACCTCAGTGATTCTAATACTTAAGAGGAGCATTCTGTATTATCCTTTTCTCTAAGACATTTAGGAAAACCGTCTCCCACCATTATGGGTGTTTTAATAAGATTACTGTACAAAGTAATCTTATTAAGAAGGCAAGTAAAACATTGGCAATCATTTTTTTCCCAGCTCATTAACTAAAAAGCAAACAAAACACTTTAAAATGTCATTCCCCCTTAGGTAATCAATATGGAGAAATCATTCTTTAAACAAATTCACCACTGAAAAATCAACCTTTACCTTAAATCCTAATAGAAACACTCCCTTATTATGGAAAAATAATCTCCTTACTTCTCTGTACTCATACAATGACACTAGAAACGTTACTGAAGTTGTGACTGGTCTATGAATATGAACAAAGTTTTCCTATCACTGGGATACTGGATGGTTTGAAAAGGAATGCACAAACAGGCCTGCTGCTAGTACAAAAGTGCCTTTTACATGAATTAGGAAAGGATTCCCTTTCCTCAAGTCACTTTATTACCAACAGGCAGAAAATTGTGATAATTAGCAATACTGCAATACTACCAATGTAAATGGCTCTACTGAGCTGTGTACAATTACACCCAGAGTTCTCTCATGATTCCTTATTCTATTGTCTTCTTTTCCTATGTGTATCTTAACTAAATTCATATCAGAGCTAATGTCCTCTTAAGGTAAAAAAAAAAAAAAAAGATTAAAAAGTGCTGTAAACAAAATTTCCTATATAATGACAGTTAAAAATATCATAAATATGCCACTATCAACAATAACAATGATGATACAACTTAATAATACAAGTTTTTTAGAAAACAAAACTGGACATGATCTTTCCAATTCTAAACTCTGAGATAAGACATCTGCATAAGACCTTGGCAGCTTTTATAGAAACCCAGAGCTAAAAGTAGGAGCATTTTTCCAATGCCTAGAAATGTTTATTAGCTGCATCAGCATATCATTATCCCAGAAGTCAAGGCCAACAGTCTTCCAAACTGTGCAGAGATGACTATAATGAGCCATACCATCAGCAGACTACGTTGCCAAATATTAAGACTGTTTAAAATCTTGAAAATTCTATAAATTCACGGTGAATGGGAACCTCAAAAATCCAAAAATTCAAATTTACAAAAATAAATACCACTCTGACACTCAAGGGACATCTTCACTTTAAGGCCTTTGTCACAAATCTGAATCTTTATTGTTCTGAAATAAATGTTATAAACATAACTCAAAACAAAAACTTCAATATTCAGTCTAAGAAGAGGTGTGGCTCAATGCCCATCACATGTAACAAGAAAAACCTCCTTTAAAAAAAGGAAAAAAAAGTACTATGAGAAGTCTTTCACATGAATGAAAATGCACCCGTTGGATTTTTTTTCCCCCTCATCACATTAGCTTGTATACACGTGGGAATCAAAAGGTTTGCATTTTCTTCACAATAGTTCTTGCTATGATGTTTGACGGACTTTTTGCCACTCAACAAATTCATCAAGAAGAACAGGCCCTAGAAAAAAAGAAACAATTTTTGTCAGAATTCAGTGAACTCATCTCTCCAATTATAAAACAAACAAACTCCCCACGAGCTCTGCAATGACAGAGGACTGACCCCTCCCTTCTTTGGGTGTTCTACTTCTAGTCACTTTATTCCATTTAATGGTGCTTCCTTATTTGCCTTTTCTTTTTTGCCCTTAAATACACAAGGAACAATGGTATCTATAGTAACTTCCTTCTCAAGGTGTTTCATGAACCCTCCAATAACTGAGTCAATACAAATCTCTCCCTTTTTCTAAGTGTCCATAGCATTCTGGCATGTAATTACTAAACAAGCTGAAAAGTGTTGAAGGTAATATTTCTATGTTGCCTTCCCAAGAAGTATATAAGCTTGTTGAGAGGGATCAACTATAACAGAGACTTGACTTTATTCCAATAACAGGATGTAGTACAAAGCTGAACACAAAGCAAGTGCCTAATGAATATCTGACTAATGCGCTAAGTACTATTCTAAAAAAGGTATTTTTATAATGCAGGAGAAGTCCAAACTCATTTGTTGACAGAGCCAGGTAGGCAGTTTAAATGAGCTCAGTGTTTATTTTGTTTAAATGTAGGAAAAATCACTGCCACAAAGAAATATGCTTGCTCTATTCTTCTTAAAACACATAATCCTCTGGTGGTCTTTTTCCATTGTTTTTGACAGACATGTTTCTCTACTGTAAGAAAAACAGCAGAGCAAGTATGATAATAAATGGCAACTGAAAAACAGCCCAGCCTAGGTGTTGGCATCCCATGAACTGTCAAACTGAAAAGCAAGTCCAACACAGTTAATACTTGCCTCTAGCCTCTGACTCCTATAAAGGAGTACTATAAAGGTACAGTTTTGTCAGACTTTTTAAATTTTTCAAACAAATTTAAAAGTTGTATTTTAATACAAAATCTCGTAGTTTTAAATGTTGATACAAAATACATAAATATACACATCTACAGGCCATATACAGCCTTTGGGCTGCCAGGTTACTGCTGCTAGGTATTATTTCTTTACAATAATACTAAATTTTATATCATCTTGTAGAGAGAGGACAAAATATATGTAGGAAGAAATAAAGTTATCCCTTCTTCTGTTATTTTATTTTTTCAGTGTCACAGAAAAAAAGTGTAAATTTCAGTTTAAGTTTATAGGAATGTACTTTTCCTTGTAACCCTTCTGAACACTGAAAACACATGCAACCAACCAAAATGGTGGTGGAAACTGAAAATAATTTATAGTTCTACAAAATTAACTTGGTTTATCTAATTAATTTATCATTATTTCAAAATCCTGTTTTATGGCATTCTAGCCTTTCCATGGAGGAGTAGGGACAGATACTTTAACTTGAGGGATTAAAAAATTATAACTATTTCACTATCAGTTTACTCACAATCAATTTACAGTTTTCAGAGAGAAGTTATACTGACATTATTTGCCATATTGTTAATGGGTAGCATAATATTACAACAACTCTTTAAAGCTTTTTCTATTGTGGCTGATTGTTTTGCTGTTATATTTTAAAAATCATGACTGTACTTTCCTTCCATAGGCAAATGCCAGGAAAGACAGAAACAAAGCTGATTTTTAGTTTCTAGATGCAAAAATTATAATTTAAATTTAGCTAAAATGTTTGGTTACTGAGAAACTGAACACATTTCACCTACCAGCATAGATTTTATATAATACTGCTGAATCTAAGCTTTCTCTCTACTTCTCCCACATCCCCCACATGATTAAATAATGTTACTATTACAAAATTTAAAACTTCTATGCTAATACTACATAAATCCATACTCTCATTTAATATTTTTGGAAATTTTATTTTCAAAGGAACATGCTATGTTATACTTACAAGCACCATCTTCATCATAGTTACTAAGATCGGCATGGACAGTTCTGCTGAATTCTAATACATTGTACCATTGATCTTTGTTCATAACACGATACTTTGATTGCTGCAAAAAATGATTTAAATATTTGTATTTAAATATTTAAGCAAACATCATTTACTCAATTTAGTAAACTAAGTTATAACTTTTTTTGTCATTTGGTTTTTCCTAAAACATTTATTATTCTTTTAATTATTTGTGTTTTAAGAGATTCCTCATGGGCATTTACATATTAACATCATCTATTTTTTACTTTTTTTTTTCATTTTTGAGGAATAATAAGAGCACTGAGTACTAATAGTAAGGATAAAACTAACTTTTACATATGTATATACTTGTGTTACCACCAATGAGATCACGATATATAACATATCCTACATCCAGTATGTTATCTTATGCTGCTTCCTAGTAAATCATTTCTTTGCTTAAGATTTACTGGTTAGCCACATTTTGAGTTTGGCATCTTTGGAGACAACTGAAAGAGTATAGGCTTTGATTTAAATCCCATCCTTCCCACTTAATTGAGTGATTTTGGGAAAGTTACTTAAGAATAGAAACCACTTCCTCATTTGTTAAATGGGGGTAGAATTTAATTCAAAATGGTGTTATAAAGATTTTTAAAAATGTATGCCAAACAACCTGCACAACAAGTGTCTGAAAATATTTAGTTCTTCTCAGCTCCCCATAGAGCTGAATATTTTTACATTCAGTTAAATTTATTTTTGCCCAAAACTACTAATAGAAAGAAAATAGATATCATCCATCAAAAATAATTTATAGGACTTAAAGACTGAATCATGCATAAAACTCATTCATGTAAGACCTTTTCATACCACTCTCTCTCTCTCTCTCTCTCTTTTTTTTTCTGAGACAGAGTCTCGCTCTGTCACCCAGGCTGGAGTACAGTGGTGCAATCCCGGCTCACCGCAACCTCCACCTCCATGGTTCAAGCAATTCTCGTGCCTCAACCTCCCGAGTAGCCAGGACTACAGGTGCACACCACCACATCCAGCTAATTTTTTTTGTATTTTTAGTAGAGATGGGGTTTTCACCATGTTGGCCAGGCTGGTCTCGAACTCCTGGCCTCAAGTGAGCTGCCCACCTTGGCCGCCCCAAGTGCTGGGATTACAGGTTTGAGCCACCATTCCTGGCTGATATCATTGTCTTATATTACAACTTTTACTACTATGGGAAAAGGGAAGTTGCTATAAGCAATGTGCTTTATGATAAATTATTTCCAAAGGAAAAAAGCATCTGTATTCAAGATATGGTGAGAACTATACCAATAACCCTAAAATTACAAAGACACAAAAACAGTTTTAAAAACAAAAACTAGACAAAGAAAGCAATGGAAAAAAAGAATAGCATCTTCTTAGAATCACTGCCTATAGTAGGTGCTATGATAAACCTTCTAAAAGAACACTTCATCATTTCAGCTTACATCTTTTTAGTAACCAGCATATTTAAGTATACTATTATAGTCATTCTCATATTTGTGGACATAAAATATGAATAGCTTTATTCTCTTTCTTTAGATTGAGCCTAAGTAGAAAAGGAAAGTTGTATTACTAAATTGGTTATCTTATGTACATTTCAGCTTAAGACCCTGTATAACAAAAGAAAATCAGATTTAGAAGTTTAAGATTTGCGTGCTAGCATTAATTCTCTCTTACGAAAACCCCGAGAAACTAACTTTGCATGACAAATGTCTGTGCTACAGTGTATTTCTTGGAGGTTTCTTTTATTGGGGCAGGGAGAGGGGTAGGATTGAAGGTATCTTAGGTACAAAATATATTAACAAGCATGAACATCTAAAAATAACTGATATGTACATATTTTAGAATTTTTTCTCTACTCAAGGAGTTTTTTTTAAGCATACTATTAAAAATCTACTTGTTCCTCAAAAGTGTAACTTTCAGATTAAGTTTTAAAATAATATTTTCAAAATTAAAAAAAAAAATACATACCTCCAGGTACTGGTAAAATACTGAAAACAGTGGCCATGTCCTCCCAAGCAGAAGAGCTAACATAGATTTAGCAGTATCAATATCAAGGCTTCTCTGATCTTTATCCTAAAATGTAAATGAAAAAGTTTTCCTAAGTGTGGTCTCAAGATGAAAAGCGATTAAAACAACAAAACAAGAAAATTGCACCTACCCTTGCAAAATCAAAGGCATATCTGTAGATATTCTTAAATGATGAAATATCATTCAACTGTGAGCGCAAAAAGTCAAATTTGTTTTGTAACTTTTCTGTGCAGTCACACCTTAAATAAAAGAAACAGCAAACAAATTACATAATCAAGAAAATCAAATAAAAGCATCATTGGGGGTTAGAAGGAATCCATTAAGAAAAAAGTGAGTGCATTTATGAAGTTAATTTAGTTTTAAAATTCTGAGTCACAAATTTATAGTAATAAATTTCTTGCCTTGCATCTACCAATGCAATAAATAAAGAAAAAAGGGGAAAAAAGAAAACCTGGGAATCAAAGAAAGTTCACTCCAATTACTTTTCTTAAAAACAAACAACTCATTCAAAAATTCCAATAAAATCAAAGTTAAAAAGAGATGTATTAAAACATGTTTTATCACATATACAGCTAAAAATGGCAGAGCAAATGAAATGAAACATGCCTTTGTCACATACTTCTTTAGAAAGTTCTTAACAGTTTGGTGAAAGACGTTAGTGGTTTTAAAAGTTTAGGACATAACACAGCGGAAAGTAATACATTATATTAAGTGGTCCAGTCAGAAATCCAGATCCCTATATTTTTGTGAACAAAAAGTTAATCAGCAGAAGCACTTAACTTCAAATAAGTTACATATGCAAAAACACGCAAACAACAAATCGTGTTATTTTTAAAGACAACACATTAAATATAAGCAGCTAAATATATGGAAGGCTCAAAAATCTTAACTGGCTTTCTCTCAGTGGGTTGATAAATTCCACTGTTTAGCAAGAAGCAAGGCAGTCAAGGCCTTTCACAATTTGTCACAAATCTCTAGTTTCATCTCCTGCCACTTCCTGATAATCTTACCATGCTCTAAATATATCACTTACCATTCCCAAATGCCACAGCCATGCTTCAGCACCCATTATTTCTACTTGAAATCTCAAACATGCTGATAAAAATATTATTCATCAAGACTTAACTCACATTTTGCCACCTCTGAGAAACCATCTGACTCCCTTTAATCAAATTAATTGTGCCATCTACTGTTGTCCACAGTATTCCACTCAAAACTGAATTTTAGTTATTCAACAAGCTCTCCAGACACCTGGCATTCTCGGATTTAACTAAGACTACACTAAATCAATAACGCAAAGGCCTATGATGTGTAGTAACATAATTTCATTAATGTGTAAATATTTTGGACAATTTTCTAATATTAATTAAACCTTGCATTTCTAGAATAAGTCAAATTTGGTCATGTTACCTGTTTTATACATTGCTAGATTTTGGGACTGTTTTGCTATCTTCTTAAGTGAGACTAGCTTGTAAATTTCATTCTTACTCTCCTTGCTAGTTTTGTTAACAAGATTGTAGTACATAAGACTCAGAAAATGAAAAGAGAATTGCTACTTTTCCCCCCGTTTTTTGAAAAAGCTTATGTAACCCTGGAATTATCATCTGTCCAAACTCAGGTGAGTACTGAGGGAAGGAAGACTTTTAACTAATAAACCAACATTTTTAATGGTCATAGGGCCATTCAGAATTTCTATTTCTTTTTGAATGTTTTGGTCCCATACTTTTCTGATAACTAGATTATTTTACATATAAGTTTATTTAAATATGATTAAAATTTATAACATTTTCTAATTTGCATTAACATTATCTTCATCGCTTTTTTGTTTTTCTTGCCAGAATTAATTCATTTAATATAGTATTTAAGGCTATAGATTTCCCTCTTGCTACAACTTTAGCTGCAACCACAAGTTTTGATAAGTATTGTTTGCAGAACTATCATTCGATCGAGCAATCCCATTACTGGATATATACCCAGAGGAATATAAATCATTCTACCATAAAGATATGCAGGTGAATGTTCATTGCAGTACTATTCACAATAGCAAAGACATGGAATCAACCTAAATGCTCATCAGTGATGGACTGGACAAAGAAAATACATATACACCATGGTACATGTACGCTCTGGAATACTATGCAGCCATTAAAAAAAAAAACATGATCATATCTTTTGCGGGAACATGGATGGTGCTAGAGGCTATTATCCTTAGCAAGCTAATGCTGGAAAACCAAGTATCACATTTTCTCACTTATAAGTGGGAGCTAAATGATGTGAACTTATGAACACAAAGAAGGAAACAGCAGACACTGGGGTCTACTTGAAGGTGGAGGGTGGGAGAAGAGAGAGGAGCATAAAAGATAACTGTTGAGTAATAGGCTTAATACCTGGTAATGAAATAATCTGCACAATCAACCCTGTGACACTACTTTACCTATGTAACAAACCTTCACATGTACCCCCAAACCTAAAAATTTTAAAAAATAAAGATCTTACAATTCAAACATACATGTATATTTTTGCTTTTAGTATTTACTTGTAAATGACACCTTGACAGGAATTGTTTTGAAGGAGTGATAGGGATAGAAATTTTACTGGAATAGGTTTAAGAGAGAATGAAGAGTGGAACTGGAGAAAATAAGTATAGATGAATACTTTCAAAGAGTTTGATTCTAAAGTGGTGCAGATAAAAGAGGCACTAACTTGAGTGGGATGCAGTCAATGAACTTTTCCCACTCACTCTCTTCTAGGTACAACTAAGATGCCTGAACATTATATAGAAAATAAATACAAGACCCTGAAAGGTGGAAACCTGAGGAATTACATGGTGGTGAGTTCTCTGGGTTTCTTTTTGCCTAATATATTCCAAAATTGGAGCTGAAGAAGCTAGTAACCAGAAACAACAATGGGGGCAGACAAAAAGCCCCAACAAAACCCTGCCTTTTCTCTAGCCAAAAGACGAAGAAAGGAGGAGCCTCACAAAACAGAAAACTCTTAGAAAATAAACACTCTACTCCAGTTAAAAACCACTGAAAAGACTATGGCCCAACTCCCACCAATGCCAGCAAAGACTGAATGGAGACCTAAAATGTCCACCCTTACCAGAAAATAATAAAGCCTCTCTCTCAACTCCTACAATGCTGGTGGAAACCGAAACCACACAGGTAACATGAACTTCTGCTCTCGTCAGGTAGTAACAAGCAGCCAATCCTCTTCTGCCCTAGGTTGATACAGAGGAGGCCTAGTGAAGAGTCCGGGCTTTCACCACCACCCACTGGTAACAAGGCACTCCTATCCGTTTCAGACAAGAAAGCATCAGTAAAAGTGTAGTGGGAACCCAGAACTCTCATCCCTGCCCAGCAGTCACAAGGGATATCCTTCCTTAGATGTCAATGGATGCAGAGTAGAAAATTCAATTTCTACCTGTACCTGGCAGTAAGAAGGTAGCAGCTCTATTTCTCTTGCCAGAATAGCATTAGAGTAAGCTAGCTAAAACTGAAGATTTAAATATGATTCAGAGATGCAGAGTTTTATAATATACTACCCAAAATATCCAGGTTTCAGGTTAAAAAATCACTTGTCAAACCAAGATCTCAAATGGATTGCAAAAACACAATCAATACTCGCAAACACCAAAATGACAGAGATGTTGAGAATTAGTTGACACATTTTAAAGTAGCTATCATACAAATACTTCAACAAGTAATTAAAAACATAATAGAAAAATGAAAAAATATAAAGTCTCAGCAAAAAGAGTCCAAGGACAAAGAAATATAAGATATAAAAAAAGAACCAAATGGAAAATTTTGAACTGTAAAATACAAGGTAGACTTAAGCCCTAATATATCCATAATTACATGACAGTAAGTAGTCTACACCAATAATGGATTTTAAAAGACATGAACCAAACATATGCTGTCTAGAAGAAACTTTAACTTCAAATAGTATAGGCAGACTGAAAGTGAAACAATGGAAAATAATATCTCATAGAAATATTAAAAGAAAGCAGGAAGTGGATTTCTACATTAGATGATATTAAAATAGAGCAACTTCAGAGTAAAGAAAATGATCAGAATAGAGGTGAAAATTATATTATAACAAAAGAGTCATTCCATCAGGAAGACACAGCAATCCTAAACGATTCTAAGCAATCCTATATACATTAAACAATAGAGCTGCAAAATGTGTGAAGTAAAAACTAAACGTGTGAAGTAGCACTGAAAAGAGAAATAAATTCATAATTATAGTTGGATATTTCGCCACCCTTTTTTCAGCAATTGATAGAAACACTAGATAGAATTCAACAAACTCACAGAACTTAACATCATCAACCAACAGGATCTAGTTGACCTTAGCAGACTACTCCATTCAAACACAACAGAATACACATTATTTTCAAGTGCCCAGAAAACATCAAACAAGATAGACCAATCCGGAGATATAAACCCCTCAACAGAGTAAACATAACTGAAATAAAAAAGAATGTATTCTCTGACAACAATGGAATCAAACTAGAAATCAACAACAGAAAGTTAAAGGCAAAATCTCCAAACACTTGGAAACTAAACAGCAAACACCTAAATAATCCATGGGAAAGTTAAGTCTCAAGGGAAAACAAAAAATACATTAAACTAAATGAAAATACAACATATCAAAATGTTGACACACAAATAAAGCAGTACTGAGAGGGAAATTTATAGTGCTAAATACACACATTAGAAAAAAGAAGGGCCGGGCACAGTGGCTCAAGCCTGTAATCCCAGCACTTTGGGAGGCCAAGACGGGCGGATCACGAGGTCAGGAGATCGAGACCATCCTGGCTAACACGGTGAAACCCTGTCTCTACTAAAAAATATAAAAAATTAGCCGGGCGAGGTGGCGGGCGACTGTAGTCCCAGCTACTCGGGAGGCTGAGGCAGGAGAATGGCATAAACCCGGGAGGCGGAGCTTGCAGTGAGCTGAGATCAGGCCACAGCACTCCAGCCTGGGTGACAGAGCGAGACTCCATCTCAAAAAAAAAAGAAAAAAAAAAAAGAAAAAAGAAAAAGCCTTAATCAACAATCTAAGCTTATATCTCTAGAATTCAGAAAAAGAAAGGCAAAATAAACATAAAGCAAGCAGGACAAAGTAAATAAGAGCAGAAACTGCTGAAATTGAAAACAGAAAAATCAATGCAACAAAGCACATTGAAAAGATCAATAAAATTGACAATTTTCTAACAAGACTGACAAAAAAAAGA